GGAATGCTTGTGGTAGTCTGGTAGAAGAGTTTATATTGGGAAATGATTTAGAACTACACGACTTTAATGAGTTTTTTTTTTTAATAAAAAAAACCTGTGTGATAATTCTCCTGGTATTAACTTTCAAATATGTGCATAAATGGCATAAGGCGTGCGTATCAAAAGACAAAAAGGAGGAAAATCGATGTGGTACTGAATCTGCTGATATGTGTTGCTAGTCGTTTTTCTGGTGAAAACCAAGATGCCGCCTCGTTTTGCTGATTCGAATTTAGAATTCGAGTTGAGATGTGATTTTATGTGAGAAATTTTTACTGTAGCAAAAAAGTTAGATGTGACTGTTTGTGAGAGCTTTTTACTATAATAAAACTTAAATTCAAAACTCGAATTAGCGAAATGAACGATGCCAACAAAGGGCCAGAAGCGAAAGAAGTAAAGTGTTATTATTATTTTTTTTCCTTTTGGGGGGTTTCACAAAATATAACAAACCTTCAGTCCTTTTCAGCAAAAAAATAAAAATAAAAAAGGTGGACTTTCCTTGGAGTACAAACGGTAATCTGAAGGAAAATCCACGAACTGCCACGTCATCTCTTAAGTTCTCATTGAGAGACCATGTCCACCCATCATTTTCTCACTCCAACGGAAGAACAGCACACCACACTCCCAAACTGTGGCCTCATATTTTCCTACACTTTCTTCTTCCTTTTCTTTTCTACCAAACAATCTAGACCGCACTCATAAAAAATCATAAAAGCTCCATTCTTGCCCTTCAATTTCTTGAACCCAGAAACAATTTTCTTTAAAAATGTCTCTACGTTTCTCTTCCCACGTTTTCAATCCCCATTCAGCAAAACACCATAGCTTTTTCCTCACTCGTTTCTCTTCACAATTCATCAAGAAAATCCAGGTAAGTTCTATTCCCTACGCCTTTCCATCTTCAATCGTCAATTCATCAGAACTCTATAAGTTCGGCAGAGAAAAGCAAAACCCCATAACAGTTTCTTCAACAACCCCAAGTGTTGAAACAGCCAAAACATCTTCATTCAGAAACAAAAACCCAAAAGAAGTCAACATTTTGGTTGTGGGCTCCACTGGGTATATTGGAAAATTTGTGGTCAATGAGTTGGTTAGTAGAGGGTTCAATGTCATAGCCATAGCTAGGGAGAAGAGCGGGATTAGAGGGAAAAAAAACGAGGAAGAGACTTTGAATGAGTTGAGAGGGGCCAATGTGTGCTTCTCAGATGTGACAAATTTGGAAACTTTGGAGAAATCTGTGGAGAGTTTGGGTGTCCCAATTGATGTTGTCGTGTCATGTCTAGCTAGCCGTACAGGTGGTGTGAAGGACTCGTGGAAAATAGACTATGAAGCAACAAGGAACAGCCTTGTCGCGGGCAAGAAATTTGGGGCCTCACATTTTGTGTTGCTGTCTGCAATATGTGTGCAGAAGCCGCTCCTCGAATTCCAGTGCGCGAAGCTGAAATTCGAGGCGGAGTTGATGAAGGAAGCGGAGGAGAATGGAGGGTTCAGTTACAGCATTGTGAGGCCAACTGCTTTCTTCAAGAGCTTGGGGGGTCAGGTTGAGTTGGTTAAAGATGGGAAGCCTTATGTCATGTTTGGGGATGGGAAGTTGTGCGCTTGTAAGCCGATTAGTGAGCCGGATTTGGCGTCTTTCATTGCTGATTGTGTGTTGGGTGAGGACAAGATTAATAAGGTCTTGCCTATTGGTGGGCCTGGGAAGGCTTTGACACCATTAGAGCAAGGTGAAATGCTGTTTAGACTGTTGGGGAAAGAGCCAAAGTTCTTGAAAGTTCCCATTGGGATAATGGACTTTGGTATTGGAGTTCTTGATTTCCTTGTCAAGATCTTTCCCTCAATGGAAGACGCCGCTGAGTTCGGGAAGATCGGGAGGTATTATGCAGCGGAGAGTATGCTGGTTTTGGATCCTGAGACTGGAGAGTACAGTGCTGAGAAGACACCAAGTTATGGGAAAGACACTTTGGAGGAATTCTTTGAGAGAGTGCTGAGGGAAGGAATGGCTGGACAGGAATTAGGAGAGCAGACAATTTTGTAAAGAAAATTTGTGTCATGTTCTGAAAGTCTTTATTCTTTAGAATGAAAAAAAAAAGGCTTTATTGAATGGAAACAGTTTTGTGATACGGTCTGGTTTAAGGTATGCTCAAGAACTGTTTGTATATTGCATGAGTTGTAACTTTTAACCATATGTTTTTGATGATTTGCTATTGCATTTCTTACTGATTCTTCATTTCTAATGCATATGTTTGAAGTCTGTCAATCTTTGGTCAAATAGTTCATATTAATCAAGACTAGTCTTAGGACATATGGGATTGAACTTCAGACATGGTCCAAAAACATGGAATAAGCCCTTTCTTTGCCTCTCTCTCCTCTTTTGTTTCTTGGTGAATTTTGATAATAATATTAATTAGGGACAAATTTCAATTGTCAATTCAAATAAAAACGATACCAGAGTATATAAAGTTGTATTATAACTTTATGGAATCTGATGAAAGATCTGACGATTAAGAACTGTCTTTCACAGATAGGGTATGTCAAAGAATTCTCCTTGTTTCTTTTGTTAGGCACTGAAAAACTCCTTAATACTTTTGTTGGTACCGATTTAAGTTTTTTAATATTTTATAAGACAGTATAAATAATATAGAGACGTAAAATAAAAGAACATGAGAGATATGGTATCGTGGTTTAGTCACAACCTACTCCGTGGGGCCACGCTCAGATGATGAACAATTCACCAAGAACTATTTTACAATTCAATTGGATTTAATCTACCCGAGACTCTTTTTAAGAAGACGCCTATGAACTTGTAATTTCCCAATGAACTTGAACAGCGAGATCCCCTCGACTTTTTAACATTAGAATCCCTCCAATTAAGTTTTTCTCCCAAAAAATACTCAAATCATCTCTTTAAATACAAGTGCTCACCCCTGTCTCACAACCTAGAAAAACTAATCACCTCAGTATGCAAAGACTCAAGGGACACTTTGGGAATGTTTGGTTGGAGGATTCATACCATGATTTGAATCATGGTTCATGGTTCGCTACAGTGTTTTCTCTCACAAACAATACACGTAAATAAAAAATGGTTCTAATCTCATAATTATAATCCATGAGCCAAACGTCTCCTTTGAATAAATATGTGAAGTGTGAATAGCTTGACAACCCCTTCAATTAATTCGTTGAACCAAATCTGTTGCAGATTTTCGTTGTAACAAGAACTGCAACACAACTATCAGAGTCAGCTATCCCAAAACCAGTCCGAAAATCAATCTTCTTAAATCCTAAAATCTTTTCGAAACTGATATACGAATTTGGACACATTCTTAGGAGAAAGAAAAAGATCATCCAGCTGCGGAAACTCAATCAAATATCAATCAAATCACCAATTATCAAGTTACCATATTTGGATCAATAGTTGACTTTCAAAGCCAGAAACTATATTTAGTTTTCAGAATGCAATAACTTTCCATTTCTCACAAATCTTCTAGGATACTTTATTCCTTCTATTAATCCTCAATCTTCTAGGATACTTCCTTCCAAAAACTGATTTCTATCAAGAAAAGAATATTCCATATTTGAAGCAATCAAACAACCAAAAACACATATGATCTTCTCCATAAACGCTAGTTGCCAAAAATACATGTTTTTGAATTTTTACAACAAATGCTAACAAATTGCGAACTAAAGTCCTAACAATCTCCCCTTTTAGCATTTTTTGGCAAAACTAACACAAGTTCCTATTAACAATAAATATTCAAAAACTATAAGAAAAGTACAATGTTCTCTCCCTTTTTTGACAAAAAGAAGCCAAAATAAAAATAAAAATAAGAAAAAAAAACTTCTAGAAATTGATGTCGCAGAAAGTGTTGCAACACCCGATGGAACACTCTGTGCAACACTTTCCTGCAAATCACGTTCCAATTCATTGATTTTTGCAAATTGCTATCCCTGAATCCTCTACGAGTCTTACTTTCCCTGAATATGATATTCTCCCATGCATATTATTTTTATCACCTATCAAAAGCTTGAAGTGACCATTACCACAATACTCAGAGTTAGTAGTACATGCTTTAAAAGAAGTATAAGCCCCATGATACCTTAAATCAGATTTCTTTACCCACACACGTCTAGAAAATTTATTTTACACATCAATCTTTGCTTTCAGTGTCCTTCTTTTGAATGCGGAATTTGGTGGATTAATGATCGTACATCTTTTTAAAGCATTCAAGTATTGGTAACATCTAGGTCTAATGTGGCCACATAAATTACAATAGTGACAGATTGGAACAAACCTGTCTATTGCTTGTCTTGTTACAACAACCTTTGCAACAAACTTCTTGTCTGATCTTACCTAAGATTTCTGAAAGGACTGCATCATAGTACTGGTGGCTCCTTTCACAAAGAGAGTCTTGCCAGAAATTTCTTGACCCTTGTAGCCATGGCCTGAATGATCACCACAAGTTTTTTATTATGAGAGTAAGTGATCCAATTTTGCAGCGCCTAAGTTTAGCATCCTTAAATTCTTCGGTGTTTGCTCCAATTCGAGTCTGGTCCAATTCGAGTCTGGTCTCAGCAACCTTTCTCTGATGCTTTGTTACCAATATTTCATAATTTGTTGCAGCCTTCTGCAACTCATCTCTTTCCTTTGTTAAGACAGCAACTTCATTTTCAAGTGATTTATTTTGTTTGCAAACAACAAGCCACTTGTTGTACATCTTCTTATAAGCCACCTGAATCTTCTCAAGACTTAGGTTATCATCGTCACTGTCATCTTCAGTTTCATCCTCGAAATCTGTATCATCAACAACTCCGCCAGAGGTTGTTGCAGACGCTGTTGCAACAGACTCTGCAACAACATTATCAGTGCTAAACAAATTTTTATCCGTGAATTCATTTCTTATAGTGAAAGCCACATAATTGCTGGTGTGATCATCTGTATACTCTTGACTTTCATCTGAATTATCACTCCATGTAGACACCATAGCAGCCTTGCTTCTCTTCTTGAGAGTGTTTGCACACTCCGCTTGAACATGTATGAATCCTTCACATTTTCGACATTGTATTCCCTTATTTCTTTTCTTCTCTTCAAACCGTTGAGAGTTAAAATTCTTCTTTTGAGAATTTCTGTTCTTTGAATTCTCTCCAAATCTCCCTTTCTTGTTGATCTTTCTCAACATTTTATTGATGTTTTTGGTGAGTAAAGTAAGAGACTCACTCAAGTCTTCATCTTCGTCAGTCTCATCTTTGGTGGACATATCATCATAATCTGCTTGAAGAACAATTCCTCTACTTTTCTTTTTATCCTTAAAGTTTATCTCAAAGGTTTGAAGATTACCTATGAGTTCATCAAGTCTCATCTTCTCCACGTTTTTTGCTTCTTCGATGGCCGTCACTTTGTAAGCGAAATGTGCCGGAAGTGACCTCATGGTCTTTTTCACCAATTTGGCGTCAGAATATTTTTCTCCAAGGGCGAAGGCTTCGTTAGCAATATCACAAAACTTTGAGTTGAAATCGGCAATACACTCATCCTCCTCCATTTGTAAACTTTCAAAACGGGTTGTGAGGATTTGAAGCTTTGAGGCCTTCACAACATCCGCACCTTCATGCGCAGTTCGAAGAATATCTCAAGCTTCTTTTGTGGACTCACATGTGGAAATCAATTTGAATTGATTAACATCCACAGCATTGAAAATGACGTTCAATGCTTTTGAATTACTGTTTGCTAGCTTGTCGTCATTGTTGGACCATTCCTCTTCTGGCTTAAGGACGGTATTGCCTTCATCATCTTTAGTTGTTAGATGAGTCCATCCGGTTAAGATAAATCGCCATGCTTTCTCATCAATAGCTTTAATGAAAGCTTTCATGCAAGTCTTCCAATAGGGGTAATTGACACCTTCCAGAAATAGTGGTTTGTTCACCGATCCTCCTTCTCTCATGATATCCATTCTTGCAAAATCAGCCAGTACAACAGGATCTCACCGAAACACACGTCAGTGATCCGCTCTGATACCAAATGTTGGTACCGGTTTGAGTCTTTTAATACTTTGTAAGACAATATAAATAATGCAGAGATGCAAAATAAAAAAACACGAGAGAAATGATATCGCGGTTCGATCACAACCTACTCCGCGAGGCCACGCCCAGATGATGAATAATCCACTAAGAACTCTTTTACAATTCAATTGGACTTAATCTACCTGAGACTCCATCTCTAAGAAGACGCCTATGAACTTGCAATTTCTCAATGAACTTGAACAACGAAATCCCCTCGACTTTTTAACATTGGAATCCCTCAAACTAAGTTTTTCTTCCGAAAAACACTCAAATCATCTCTTTGAATACAAGTGCTCACCCCTATCTCACAACCTAGAAAAACTAATCACCCCAGTGTGCAAAGACTCAAGGGATACTTTGAATAAATAAACAAAGTGTGAATAGCTTGACAACCTCTTCAATTAATTTACTGAAGATGCTTGTTGAAACAAGAACTACAACACAGCTGTCAGAGTCAGCTATCCCAAAACCAGTCAGAAAATCAATCTTCTTAAATCCTGAAATCTTTCTGAAACTAATATACGAATCTGGACACATTCCTAGGAGATAGAGAAATATCATACAACTGCGGAAACTCAATCAAATATCAATCAAATCACCAATTATTAATTTACCATATTTGGATCAATAGTTGACTTTCAAAGACAGAAACTATATTCAGTTTTCAGATATGCAATAACTTTCTATTTCTCACAAATCTTCTAAGATACTTCCTTTCTTCTATTAATCCCCAATCTTCTAGGACACTTCCTTCCAAAAACCGATTTCTATCAAGAAAAGAACATTTCATATTTGAAGCAATCAAGCAACTAAAAACACATCCGATCTTCTCTATAAACGCCAGTTGCCAAAAATATCTGTTTTTGAATTTTTACAACTAATGCCAACAAATTGCCAATTAAAGTCCTAACAACCTTGACTTTACTACAGTTTTAGTAGGGAATTCCTACCGATGGGACACAATTAACCATTAGATCACATTAATAGTTATATCGCATTAAAAACAAAGCTTGATAACTGAATGGAGCTTGACGAATATCTGACAGTTAAAAATTGTGATCTACTGGCACTTGCAAAGAAACATCCTAATTTTGCACTTTTAATGCGAAAGTTTTTGCACTTTTCTTGAATCGTCAGGGTTAAGACCCAAAGCTAACTGGAACCATTTAGCACTGGAATAAATCTGATACAACTATCAATGAAGTCCAATTACAGAATACATGAACATCAAACAGCACAAGATAAAACAAGAATAAGATATGCTGCACAAGGGGACAACATTTACAAGGAGATTCACACAAAGTGATCCAAAACACTATCATCTGAGACAACACACAAACTCAATACATGTACGATCCTTTGAAGCTTTACTTGGGGATTTTCTTGTGGAGGGAGTTGACATTGAGCCAGATAAGAAAGATTAGCAAAACCGAGGCGCACAAAGAAACTGCGAGAGAGGCCCCTATGTGTCGACAAAACTTGTCGAAGTTATTGCACACCTTCTTCCACTGCACGTCGTCATTGCCCTTCAGTCCGACATAGGCGACACCTCCAGCGGTGCCAACGGCTGAGGCAAGTATCCCCAGTATCAGCTGCATCAGAAACACAACAAAATCTATCAGCTTAAACATGTTTTCCTGCAGAACAGGAACATGAAAAAGTAGCGCCAACACCACTTCTTAATTGTTATTGTTATTGTTGTTTCATTTAAGAGAGTAGAGAGCTTTACCACATCCCAAAAGACAAAGTGGAGCAAGAACTTTGTGGAGTACTGGGGCTTACGGGTAACAGAAATTGATGCCAGAGTAGTAACAATACTGTAAAGTCCTGCAACTGCTAAGGCCACAAGAAAGTATCTGCAAAATGATGCAAACAAACCAAAGTCATCTATTTGAATGGTGATATTATTAAAAAAAATGTTCTCAATCTTTCCTAAATACACAAAAAAAAAAAAAACAACTCACATGAAGGACGGCGAATTGTTGAACTTGATCTGGACTTTCGATCCAGGCGGCAAGCCGAACTTTCGGCCGCTAATAGATTGCTTGCTGGTGACAAGCACCACAAGAGAAGTCACTGTTGATGCGAACAAGAGGACTCTAAGAACCACATCAACTTTGAACCAGCTAGTTGCAGTGCTTGGAAGCACTGGCTGTGGTGGCGGAGCTTCTTTGCCGGATTCAGTATCAGTCTTAACTTCCTCAGTTGAAGCCATGGCTGATCTTGAACTGATATGAAAAAGGTGAAGGAATTGCAAGAATCACTGTATCTGAATTGGGTTGTATTTGTGTTTGTATACAAGGATATATATATATATATTTATATATGTAGTGGTCCATTGATGTGACTATAATAGGCCGAAAATATGCAAATATGAGTTGGAGTTTCCTCTACGCTAAAGTGAATGGTTTGAATTTTGAAACTATGATGAGTTGTGTTTGTTGAATGCTGATATGTTTTTCATAACTATCTAAACCATTGACTCGGCCGTTTTTTTAAATATTATGTAAGAAGATAAGGAAGCAGATAAAATCTGTGTGAATCTGAAAACATTAATTTTTTTGTGGTTCCTATTAGTTTTTGGTGAGAAACTTATGAAGTTGCTTATTTAGAATTCTGATTCTGATTCACCGGATCCTTTTGGTGGGATTAGAAGCTTTTATTGTATGGAAATTCCCTTCTATCGTGCAGGAGAACGGTACAGAACTCTAGATGATATTATAATTATACCACATTAAGAAAAATAATACAATTTAACAGAATTCAAATTAATAAAAATATGATGGTTCCAACTGATAAGCGAATTTTTTTTTTTTTTTTAATGCTACACAATAATTTCTATATGTGACAAAAGTTACGTTTTTGTTTTCTTTTGTTTTCTATCCCCTTAAAACAGCATTTTGGTGGGGTAAAGGCGATTTAGTCCTTGTGGGTATTCACTATAGAATGAGTTTATTGTACTTTTTAGGGAAGAAAAAGAGGAAAACCACAAACGGAAAAGCCGAAGTTTATATAAGCATATATGTGACCAGTAGCCAAGTTGGGGAAAAAAAAGTCTTTAATGATATTTCCTTATTGCCACTAAAGCAAGCAAGCTCGAATGATTGGGTGCGTGAGTATGTCTATTATGTCAAATTTTGTGATTTTATTTCTTATATAAAGTGGGAGTCATATGCCTCACATCCTATTAAAAAAAAAAAAAAAAAAAAACCAAAAAAAGATGCACTAACGTGAATGCATGCTTTAACTTGGCAAAGAACAACTCATAGTCTATGTATCAATTGCGTGTAGAAACAACTTTATTTCTGTTCCCATATTTTTCAGATATGAAGTTGACACTAAATGAGATATGGGTCCACACAACAGCAATAAATTATGTGCTCAATGACCTGTTAAAAGAATTCATAATAAATTATGTGTTTATTGACTTTAGTCTTTCACGTTCTCATTGAGACCCAAAAGTTAGCAAGACATAAACCAAATTAGAGGCAAAAATGCAAAAGTGTCTTTATTCTCTAATCTTTAATTTGGATCCATTTATCAAAATGGAAATGATTGAATTTTTCCATTATATCTAGGATAAATTACACTTATCCTCTTGAACTATTGACCTTATAATAAAATGCCCCTTAAATTTTTAAAATAACAAATTTTCTCCCTGAACAATTACCATTAGCACGCGTCTCCTTTTTCCGCCCGCTCCGTTAAATTTTAAACGTTAAGTGACACGTGGAAGTCGTTGAGACATTTAATTTTTATTCTATTATGAAATGACGATTTTGCTCATCCAAGTCTAGCCTAAGACCACTATGAACATATGACGATTTCTCTCTCCCCTTCTCTCCCTCTCTCCCTCTCATTCTGGCTTCCTTTCTCTCTCTCTCTCTCATTCCTTTTCTCTCTTTCTTCTTTCTTTGCACGTGAAAAACTAAGCCCCACTGCCACTTTGAGCTGCCACTATCCGGCCTCCGGCCATCACCAAATGCCGACCACCCATGGAGCGCGCCAACAAAAACCTTCGGAACCGGAATCTCACCACCGATCTTGCCACCGTTCACCTGCAAGCATCGATTAAAGTTTTAGTCCATTTTGTCTCCACACTGAATTCCAACGCCATCTGACCTCCGTTTCGTCGGCAAGTTGTACCATTATATTCCCCTTGCTGAGTGGAGCAAAACCCCCACGATTACTTCCCCAATCTGTGTCGAAGGAGCTTTGATGTACCGCCTCCGTCTATTTTGAGTTTTGGGCATTTTCCGGTGTACCGGACGTCATTTGGAGAAATCGACCCCGGATAAGTGTTATTCACTTCGAGATCTTCGATTTGACACACATCCTGCCAACCCCCCATCCCAATCAACGTCGGGTTTGGCCGGTCAGCGGCTGGGCTTAGATGGGCAAAATTGCCATTTCATTATAGAATAAAAATTAAATGTCTCAACGACTTTCACGTGTCACTTAATATTTAAAATTTAACCGAGTGGGCGGAAAAGAAAAACGCGTGCTAACGGCTAACTGTTTAGGGGGAAAATTTTATTATTTTTAAAATTTAGGGGGCGTTTTGTTATAAGGCCAATAATTCAAGGGGGACAAGTGTAATTTATCCTTATATCTATGTCAAAATTTTATATTCAAACGAACCTTCACGAGACATTTGAATGTTTAATCTTCTTTACGCCCACTTGTAAGAATATATAGCACTTTCAAGAAAAATCAACATATATCTGACGTGAATTAGGAAAGGGCTTCTTTGTACATACGTATAAGACATAATCATAATGAAATCAAGCTTATCCTTATTAAAATCTGGGTATGAACATATAGTCCACATTGGTTGAACGACGACGATTCAATTTACATAACAACAAACGTGTCATATTCAGCCACATAATTAGGCTAAATTTTTTCCAAGAAACTTCTACTTCATTTGTTTGTTGGACTTGGGGTTTGTGTTAGACTTTTCTATATAAGATTGACTAAACCGCGAGTAGTTCTAGATTATAAATTACAGGTTATTTATAGATTTATACCTTAAATTTTGAGTTTATTAAAAAACTATAACCCTATTTTGATTCGCGCGTTTAAATTAATAATTTTAATATTGTTACAATATTTTTTAAAAAATTTTAAATAAAAAAAGTTTCCGTTAAAAGATTCTCTCGCTTTTGGCATATAATGTCTCACTTGCATTTTATGTCTGCCTTTTTGTCGTTTCTACCTCGCTATTGGTAAAGATCTTGTCGTTTTTCAATTTTTTCCCCTATCATTATTTCATTGCTGTCGTTTGTTTGGTGTTTAAATTTTATGCCGTCGTTATTTTTTTTATTTTTTATTTTTTTTGCTAATCATGCCGTCGTTAACTGTCGTTGTTGTTTTTTTTGTCGTTTTAATATTCTTAATGTTTGAGTTTGTCGTTTTTCCAAATCGTTTCCATTGGCGGAAATTTTTTTGTCGTTTTTGGTTTGTTTTGTTTCAATTTAATATACAGAAATTACAGAATTATCATATACCAAAATTCGATAACAAATTTTACTAAAAAAAAAAAAAAAAAAATATAACTACAAATCCACAAGGGAAACTGATAGTAGTACGAGCTAGCATATGCTAAACATTTTAGCATGTGAATCCACTCATCAAAGCCTACACATACAAAACCAAAGATATTGAGGAGCTAAAACACAGCAATATACAAACTTTCATGTGCACTAACACACACGCATATATATATATATATATGCATGTATGTACATATATGTGTGTGTATAATACTATTCCCTAGAACCTTGTCCCCAACACACACGCATATATATATATATATATATGTACATATATGAGTATGTGTAATACTATTCCCTATAACCTTGTTTTGGGGACTCTTCTGTAAAGTGTAGAAGCGGATATCCAGATAAGGAAAACAAGCAAAAAAGAGGCGAACAAGGAGACCCCAAAAGAGCTTCCAACATGTTTACAGTACTTGGTGTAAACATGGCACACTTTTCTCCACCCCAAATCCTCGTTTCCCTTCAGTTCTATGTATGCCACAGCGCCTAGTGTTGCAGCCGCAGAGACCACTACTCCCAGCATCAACTGCGTACATATATACACATATACATAAAAAAAAAAAAAAAAAAAATTGCTTTTAATCCCCACGAATATATTACAACTCTGTGCCTATTTTATTTTATCGATTCGAGTTTTTAATTTTAAGTTTTTATAGTTAAAAACTCTCAGAAAAAGTCACATCTAACATTTTTTACTACAGTTAAAAGTTCTCAAAAAATATCACATCTCAATTCGAATTAAAAACTCGAATCCACGATGCGAACGATGCCTTAATATATTCAGGAAAAAAAAAAACCCTCATACACGCTCAGAAAATAGTGGGCCCCACATGGTGGGAACCGTCAACGGACCCGCCATATGTGAATCTTATAAATGGTGATCTTATAATCCCCACGAGGATATTAGATACATGCTTAGCTTTTATACAAATGGTGATCTTATAATTAGTAGGTACAATAAAATGGTAAGATATATATATATATATATAATTTTCAAGAGAGAGGATATTAGATATTTACTTAGCTTTATACGTATGGTGATCTTATAATTAGTAAGGTACAATAAAATGGTAATATATATATATATATATATATATATATATAATATATATTTCAAGAGATAGGTTCCACAAAAAACTTGTACTGATAAAGTATAACAACCAGGCTGTTATCATATTGTAATCAATTGAGTAATATTAATATTTTACAAAAATTGGCTTTTTTAAAAATAGAGAAGATTTATTTAATTACCGGGTCCAAAAAGGCAAAAACGACGAGGAAGATTGTTGAGAGCGATGACTTCAAGAGGGCTGCAAAAGATGCAAGAGCCGTGACAATACTATAAACAACTGCCACTGATAATGCCACTATGAAGTATCTGCAGTTTGATAAATTCAAGTATATGTTATATAAATTGTTGGAAATCAAATCAAACTATATTAAAAAAAATATGTGTATGTATATATGTACACAGTTGCGTAGTCAGGAATTATTTTAGAAGGATGTGAGTGAAACCAAAATTTAAATTAAAATAATACATAGTACAATTACTATTTTTAACTATTTCTATATTTTTTTTAATCCAAATGAATCAAGTTTTTGATTGAATATAATTCACTTTTTAAGATTTACAATCTACAAAATTGTGAACTTTATATAGCAGTGTCATTTAATTTATTATTGATTTTGACTGAAATAAAAATTTTATAAAAAACCATAATTAAGTTTTTTGTCCAACCAAAATAGAAATGATTGGATTTTAAGAATTGCCAAACGTGCCGCAGGTACTTTAACTTTCATTTTCAGCCTATCTTTGTTGTGAGTTGTGACAGAACAATATCAGTGCATTGACTATATATACAAAGCCTAAAGTACATTTACTAAGCCTGAAATTTTCAGAACAAGCAAACTACAGTTGAAAGACCTGAAATATCACTCCAATACCAAGATTAACATGCAAAGTGCAGGCTTTTTAATTGCATCTTTATTTCCATCTCAGACTATTTAATAAGGGAGATTTTAATTTTTATGGTATGCCTACCTTAAGTTTTTTTAACCGTTAGTTTTGTATACTTTTTAATTTTTACGTCATTTTATGTAGATCTGACGGACAGAAAACTTAACATACTGATATGTTAGCGTACTGAAAAAGGTCCCATTTAATAAAAGAAAAAAAATTTACTAAAACTGTTTTGTTTTTAAATAACATTTTGTTTTCTGAAAAATAAGAATCTATCCCTTATAGGTTTTAAATTTCATCAGAGTAAACCCTAAGTTCATAAGGATTTTTTTTTTTAAATCTCAAAGGTACCGTTTGAAAAAAAAAAAAAAAACACACACACACACACACATATAAGTGAAGTCTCCAATCCATACTGGATTAGAGCAGCACATGTATATTCTCTTAAAAATATATATATTTCCTTTTAAAATATGTATATTTCTTCTAAAAACATCTATATTAGGTGTTTAGATAAATTATATGCGTCTCCCCATATTATACATGTTTTAAGAGAAAATATATATAATTTTAAAGAAAATATAGCTCTAATTCGGACCGGATTGGATACAATTCATATATATATACCTTGTTGTTTGTGCTTTGGTTGTTTTCCAAGAGTACTAGGCACAATAGTTTTTGTCAACAAAAACTGAATTTGAACTTCTTCAGATTAATCCATTTTTATGTAACTTACAAATAACGGAGGATGAATTATTATTTCCTCATGAGGGTAGACAGTTATTTTGATAAACAAGATAAGCAAAGACAATAAATGTTTAATAATTTACCCTATTAATTTATGTCATGTCAATTACTATTAGGTTCCATTAATATGTGACTTACATATAAGCTGGTGAGTTAGTGAATTCGGCCGAGGAAGAAGCATACACAGGCCCGTCAAAGTCTTCATATGTTGAGTAGAACTCTTTTGTTTGCTTCCCAAAAATCATAACCACAACACATGTCACTGATGCTCCTATTAACAAAATCCTAAGAAACAAATCACACCCAAAGCAATTGGCAGGGCGAGAACTAGTAGTACTTCTAGTATAAGTTTGGATTTCGGGTTCGGGTTCGGGTTTATCGCTAGACGAGGCCATTAGAGGGTGTGTGGATTAATTAGGTGATAATTATTGGACTGTAATGAAATGCACATGAGCAAACCAATGTCTATATATATTATGTATAAGGTTGATTAAGTATTAGTCCGTGGAATTTAACTTGGAAGATCCAACACGCTAAATGAATTGACTTTAATAGTTTTTGCTATAATTGAAGTCAGAAGTAAGCCTTTGCATATATCTACAAGCCATAAGACTTGGACAATATTCAGATTGAAAATAGGAATGCTGATATACACTGAATGGGATGGGTTCTTTATTATTATTATTATCCTTCTACAAGAATAGGGTTATTTCCAATTTTAGTCTATGAACTATAAGCCAAGTCTAATTTTGATCAATGATCCTAAATTAATCATTAATATTCCTTGGCTCTTAAATCTCGATGGAAAAAGGCACGCGAGGACCATGTATAGTTTAATGAAGATTATTTTTGTAATTTTACATATTGTTATGACACGATTTTTAAGAAAGAAATCAGGCCTTTCTCTAATTAAGATTTTAACAGTCAGTTAAACATAAGGATTAAATTGAGACCAATATTGAGTTCATACACTCTCAGTTGTGATATCTCTAAAAACTCATGAAGTAAATTAAGATTTGGTTATTGTTTGGAGACTAAAAATGGAATTAATCCAGAAGAATATTTCACTGGCTCTGGTTCATGGTTGGAATAAACTATTTCTAGTGGAAGGAATGACCAATATCTTTCAAGTAAAGAATATATATATATATATTGTATTCACTAAAGCATTAGGTCAAGTTCCATTTCATAGACTTGTTCGCAAGCTGGGCGTTCTCGACACCCACACTTCATCTTGAGAGGGAGTATTAAAAGAAAGAATCTCATTGTCATATTTGACCAACATTACTGATTTTATTCTCTGAAATTACTCAAATCAATTTAGGATTAGTTTTCCTTTTTTTGTGATTATAGAATCAATTGTAATTACTGGAGTTATAGTTTTCACACTTGTAACAATTGTATATATGCTTGTAATTGCTCATTGACGTGAATATACAGAAATTCACAAACTCTTTCTTCTTCCTATTTCTAAATTTTACAATATATATATATATATATATATATATATATACATATCATGAGGTGAAGTTTCTTTAACCTTGTGCCTTTTGGTTCAATCCTAAAAAAAAAGGCTGCTGAAAGTGATGGAAATTGTGTTTAACCTTCTGCCAGAGTTTATTGGCTCTACTTGCTGATATTGAGTAATAATATTCATGATGTTTATTTCAACAAAAAAAAAATGATGGAAATTGTGTTTGTGTTCAAACTAGGTGGACCCCGACTTGAAGTTTTGGAGCACAAGATCATAGTCATATTGCATATTGTGAGAAGATAATAATAATTTCTTGTGCTTAGCCATATCAAAGTCTTCAAAATTGGACAATATAAAAAATCAGAGATACTACTCAGAAATTTGATCATATATTTTCCTACTTAACGTATAATACAAATAAGTAGTTATACATTTGTGAAAGCAATAAAGGAAGTATCCCACCTTTTCTCTGTTATTATCTTTTATCAAAACTAAAGGATATTCTATATATTTAAATACATAGAATATCCAACTTTCTAGCATGACAATTGACATGTATTCATGTTATAATTTGCCTTAACCAAACCTGAATTGGTAGTTTTTGGGTTGAGATTTAATTGTGATTAGTAATGCCCAATGGATTATTCAACAACAAAAATAAAGGGAATGCACAATAGATACTAGTAATTGTATTGTACAGTAGATTACGATTGTAAATTAAGGTACCTCATTGTTTAATTAGTTCTTATTTTTTCTGTTTTTAATGATTATAATTATATAATTAAAGAACTTCAATATCTATCCAAAGTATGCCCTTTTTTTTTGTCTTGAATATTGACTCAGAAATTCTACGTCTTCCATTCCAAAAAAAAAAAAAAAAATACGACCATTATTCTGACTTCTGAGACAAGTAGCGGCAAAAATATTATTTATCAGTGGTTTTTTTAATATATATATATATAGATATATACACACACACATACATACATATAAATATATATGTATATATTACGAGGGTTGCTCATTATTAGTTATTCATAAACTTAAACAGTTGATCTAATTGCTTGTGTACCATTTGAACTCCGAAGGACAAATTACAAATTAATTAATGTACTGTTGGGGACAGTTTCTCATGATTGATTCCAACCACTAGTACTATACAATATGATAGATCATTTAATTCATGAAATAATATATATGGGAATTTCGTAGTATGCTCCACAGAATTTTGCCCGGGTTTTCAACCTGTACATTTTACTGTTCAGAGGGAAAAAAATGTACTTTTTTTAACTCGATCTGGACAAAGAGAATTTCTCTAGTTCTTACCTTCTCTTTTATTAAATATTTCTTTGGTAGGTAAATAAATTATTGAAAAGGTTTTATTTGTATAAAAAATTATATGTTTTACATCTTTTTTTAATCTGATTTAATTTTAATTAGATCTGACGGTAAAAAATTAACCTTATCTGTAAAGGACAGATAAGGGATCATACTAAAGAAAGACCTCAAATGACTAGGAGAATTAATCTTGTCTGACCATGCATGTAAAAAAAAATGTTGCTTTTAATTTTCTTCCCCCACCATTTTGATTTTTCAAATTGATCAAATTTATTCTGTACTCATTTCCCCGAAAGTTTGTCTAATCAAGTTTTTCTTTAAAAAAAAAAAAAAAAATCTTGCACATCTAATTAATTAAATCAAATCTGATTCTTTGGGGCTTTTGGGGTTGCTTGTGTTATTTTGTCCGCTTGAAATTAAATTTTTGCATGGCTGTCAGTGTGGTTGCTATCTAGCCTGGAATACACATATCCGGGACATATGTAATAATATTTTCTCAATTACTAGCAAAACGCCAAACAATCTCACACCAAAATTTAGCTGTACACTTTCTCTCATACTTTTCTTGTATAATTTTTTAGAAGAATCTTTTTTATTATTATTGTTAATAGATACTTTTTCTGGTAGGTTTTCTTTTTAGTAGCTAGAGTCAGTTAATGACAATTAAATTTAATAAAAATTACATTTAATTAAAAATATATACAGAATAAACAGTTTTTTTTATACAAGTTTAACGTCTGAAAATAAAAATTGTCACTCATTTATGTTTTCTGGTCCTATTAAAATAAAAAAAGTCTCTTAACTACTAAATCCCATTAACTCTGGAATTGCAAGTCGCAACCCATATACAATACTTGGTTGACGATCGACCTGATCTTTTTCACACAACATATCATTCCCAAATTCATAATTTATATATATATATATATATATATATTTATGTAATTCCCAAATCCAATATTTTCTCATGCAAATTAAATATAAGTTCCTAAAAACAATGAATTCGGTTAGGTGAAGAGAAACAGGATGATATTTTTGTAGGTGCAAAAGATTTCAGACTTTATATATATATAACCATAAAATATTCGCATTTTAGTTTTGATATGGTTTCAATTTTTTATTAATGGTTTCGCATCATGCAATACCAAAAGGTATTTTCTACACACCTTTAAGAAAATTCGATATTATGATCAGTTAGTTCCTTCCACACCCTAGCTAGCTCAAGACGGAGATTCTTAGAAAATTAGGGCACGTTTAGTTTGTTGATTCGAGTTTTTAATTTGAGTTGAGATATGATTTTATATGAGAGCTTTTTACTGTAGTAAAAAAATTAAATATGACTGTTTTTTAGAGCTTTTTATTGTAACAAAACTTGAATCGGTAAAATGAACGAGGCCTTAATGTACTTTAGGACTAGAAAAATTGAACTAATTAGTAGTTTTCTATTTTTAAAGGTTAGATCTATATTAAAAGCTGTCTATTTTGTATATATTTTTAATCTGATGTGATTTTGATCTGATTTTACGGTTAGAAATTAACGCTACTATAAGACTGTTTAATAAGAGAAATTTCCACTTTAGTATTATTAAAATTGCACGTTCTCTTCAATGGCCGCATTTATAGGTGGTGACAATCAACACAAATCAATAGCCAGCCAAAATACTCTACAAGATTAGTAGTATCCTTACATATACGCTTTTAACTATGCGCACCAAACTGCATTTTGACGAAACGAAAAAAAAAAAAAAAAAAAAAAAAAAACCTTCGCGAATAGGGTCTATTAAAATGTGCCGTGCGCAGTATGAAAATGTTGTAAAGCGCCGATTATTGTTGTTGAAATGGTTTAATGAAATATATATATATATATATATATATATTTATAAATGAAGAGAGAGTAACTGATAACGAAATTGTTTAGAATATTCTAATTAAATTGGCACGCTCTGAACAACTTAATTATCTTTTATTAAACCCCCAATTCAAATATTTTATAATAGAAATTAAAAATACAACTAATTAAGAATCTGAACCAATCAATAAACATAAACTAGTAAAGCCGAGACCTAAAGAAATAGTTTTGCGAATATATATTTAAGCAAGAACATATCTAAAAACTGAGTTCTAGTTGTACTTTGTTTAAAGGCGTGTTTGGAACTCGTTCTAAACTGATTTTATTTTTTGTATAAAAATAAAAATAAAAACGTTTTCAATCTCAGACAGAAATTATTTTTAAAAATACGTTTGGTAGTTTTATCAAGAGATTATTTTCGGTGTAAAAAAAACCCATTAATGTCTCTCTTTCTCTCTCTGCTCGAGAGAGGAGAAAACGCAAATAAAAAATGAAAATGATTAAAAGTTGTTTTTCATTTCTCTCTCATTTTACACTAAACTAAAAAATCGTTTTAATTTCTATTTTTTATCTTTATTGTGTCAAACGCCGTTTTAGAAACATTTTTATTTTTTTTTCTCGCAAAACGTAAAAAACAAAAACATGATCAATTCCAAACACGGCCTAAGTTTTCTTAGGTCTATAATATTACGTTATAAAATGTATATAGTGTGTATCTATACTATATATATATATATATATATATACATACATATAGTGTTTTGTGAGTACTTGCTATGCGGTGGCATGAAATTGATGATATTGAATTAGATGATGCCGTAAGCTATTATAAGTGTCGCAAATATCCAATTTTTTGCCGTTAATATGTGTGGTCCTGGTCTTATCAGCTTCTTTTATATATAGATCATGACGACTTAAATGTTAAAACAGACGAAACCATGTCAGTAAAATCATTAATGTATTAGTGGATTTTACTTGGTTTTTCTACTAGTATTTTTTAATAAACATTCGTCTAGATAAGATCGATATTTCTGATTCTGTGACTAGAAAAACATAAATATTGTAGGGAATATTTTTAAATCATCAAAATTCAAAACTTTATAATTAGATTCTATTTGAGCACCTTAATTTGTCCAAAAGCTAAGATAATGATCAATTCAAGTAGTAGTTTATATTAGGAATACCACAGTATTTAGATAATTAGTATGATATCACCAAAAAAATTTGCCACGTATCACATTATGATAAAGAGCTGAAAACTTTGGAAGATAAACTATCAATTGATCGAAGCCATGTAAAGAGTAAACCCATATAAAATTGGCATGCAAAAATATATAAATAATCGGGAAACCTGGTCAAAAATTCTGTGGCTTGTGTTCAGTTTTATGTACCCAAAAGAAATGTGCAGATTCTTTGTCACATTGATAACTGCCAAAAATAAACTCAGTCCAGAAAACCCCATCAAGAATATTAATACATAACGCATTCATATATTTCGGGATTTGCCTATATACATATGTTAAGTGCACAAAAATATTTTCATGACTTGACCATTGTGAAACTTCATATAGAAATAAAAATTTGTAAATTAATAAGGAACTAAATAGATTAGCAAGCTAATAAGAGTTGAAAACTGTTATAGTGATGAGTACTGTCCACTAATAAAAAATAGATTCCGCATATTCATAAATATGATCCATATTTTATTAGTAGTGGTACTTAATATCGGTTGCGTCCGAAGCACAATTTTCATATGAATTATCCTTCTTAATTGTTCCATATTCATATATACTATTATATGCATGAAATAAATGCCTCCCATTCAGTGGTTAAGTTCATTTATTTCTGTTTTAAACTCACAAACATTAATGGTATAAATAAGATCCTCCCAACCGTGCCATCTGTATTCTCTCCTCAACAGAGATCCACATTCCAAAGCTTTCACATCTAAATTAATTCAACAAATAATTAAGTGTCAAAAGTCCCTTTTTACTACACTACCTGAAGTTTCTCCAAGCACGTTATTTAAAAAAAAAAAAATTTGCTTGATTTAGGGTTACATGCTTTTTCAAGATGTGGATTCACTACGGGTTTTGCAAAAGATATGGATAACCCGAGTTTCCATGAAAACTAGGGAACATCTCAACCCAAATTTCAGCTACTAAAAGATGAAAACAAACGATCTCAGATGATTTGACGAAAAGTTGTAAATTAACACTCCGTTTAGTAGGAAGAAGAAAAGAAATCATGGAAAAATATAAAAGATAGAAATTGAAATGACAAAAAGGATATTAGTTTTCTCTTAGGTTGTTTTGTAGATAGAAAGAAAAGAAAATTAAAGATTTTTACAATTACCTCTTTATTAATCTACTTATTTTATCTTACTTTCAAAACTATGACACTAAAGTAACTTTAGTTATCCTTATTGATTTCAAATTTTCCACACAAAATTCCAAATATATGTAACGTTTATTAATATCTACCATTTTTTTTCCCTTCCCTTCTCTTTTCTTTCTTATCAAATAAGTTACCAAACAGTGAAAGCTAAAAAGATTTACAACTCAAATTGTTTTTTTTTTTGGGGTCGTCCAATGACTAAAATAAAACAATTAAGACTTTTTTAAAAATAAAATTAAGCTACATTTATGGTACATAGACTATCACACGTAAGGATATCAATGGGGCAGGTAAAATGGGCCCCGTACCGCCCCACCCCGAATGGTACGGGTCTAACCCCCAAGGCCGGGGGTCAAGAATCGTTAATGCGCAGGGCGGGGCGAACCAGACCTGCCCCATTTTCTTTAAAAAAAAAAAAAGAGAAAAAAAAAACTGCATTATATATATATATATATATATATATATAGTGGGATCCAATATAAAAAAATATATACTCAGATGTAAACTAATAATGTTAAACAGTTTTAACATGGTTGTAAGTTTAATATATTTTTTAAGATCCATAATCTAAAAATTGTGAACTTATACAGTAGTATTATTGATTTATTTGGACAACTTAAGCTTGAAATATGAGATACTCAAAAGTTAAATTTTAGAGCATTATTGATATTTTTAAAATTCTCATGTAGACGTTATAAATGGAAAATTTAGAGGGGCTATCTATTGGAAAAGAAATATAAAAAGAAGAAATTGATTGGATCAAAATTAAAGGGTCCATCTTAAATTAGTGAAAGCAGTTGCCCTCATTACGCCTAGAAAAATACTTAAGGATATCACTAGTATTAAGCACCATGACTAATAAAAATAGACCCCACTGGTAGATTTCATAATGCGGAATTCATCTTTTATTAGATGGGTTGATCTGTCACTTAGCACTATACTCTTGAATTGCCCCAAATGTGGCGTTATTGTGACCATTACTTCACCTCAGAGACTCCTGCCCCACCTCATGCCTTAATTGTCTTTGTCAATAATATGCGAACTTTCACTTCCAAACACAAAATATCTCTCTCTCTCTCTCTCTAGGCCATCTCTATGTATATTTATTTGATATATATATATATATATATATATATATATCTTCTAATTAGTAGAACAAAGATCTTATATATTTCTCGTGGAAATGGAGAGCCAGGGCAAAACCATGATCAATGACATTGGTGGGTTTGAAGGATTGGAGAGTACAAACGTTGATGATCATGAGAAGGAAGTGACCAGAGTGGATAATAACAAGATGAGAACAACAAGAACAATATTATTATCTGAGTTTGTACCAAGGGTTTTGGCATTTGCCCTAACTTTCTCAGCTGCTGTGATCCTTGGAGTGAATAAGCAGACCAAAGTTGTTCCTGTTAAGGTTTTCGACACTCTCCCACCTCTTAGTGTTCCTGTTTCTGCAAAGTGGCACTACTTATCTGCCTTTATGTAAGTTCTTCTTCTTATTATATATATATATGTATATGTATTGATCCCTTACTAATTTTTGTATTGAAATTTATTGGCTAATTATATATTTGTTGTGGGTGGATGAAAAGCTGATATGTTTGATTATACTACTTGGATCTGGTTTCGATATAAGCTCCATACTATGGTAGTGCATAATTTTCACCGTTAGATTTGATTTAAGTATTATACTAAAATTAAAAATGTGTAAAAATTGACATAACCTAGTAAGATGTGTCAAACAATTTTACAATTTATACCATCTTTGTTGATTTAAAAAATTTAAAGATATCCGACCATCTTGTCGAGAAGAAAAATAATCTTGTAATATATATATAAAATATTCTATCAGAATATTTTTTTTATACATTAAATAGCATAAATATTAAATTTATAAAATAGTCATTCAATTGAGTGTAAAGATAACATCTTTTAATTGACATTTCTGCATTTCTATCTTTTTCATACCTATTGTATAAATCTTATTATGTTTGTTGTTGCAGTGTAAGAGCAACTTCAATATATAGTTAGCCAAAAGAATGAAAATACAAGAAAGTCTCCTAGCGCTTTGTAGTTGTTATTTTTAATAAACGCAATTTTTATTGAAAAAGAAAAGAATAACTGATCAACCTATATTATAAAATAAAAATGAAAAAGAAAGGCACGTACTTAACAAAACTAAAGCAGAAAACTCTGCAACATTTTGTAGTTATTTTTGTTTGTCACCTCAGAAATTTATCCCTTCATTTCATTAGCCCCACAGTGTGCTTTCCCAGGGGACATTAGGACAATTCTTAGTGTTTTTTTTTTTTTTTTTTTTTTTTTTTTTTTTTTTTTTTTTCCTTTTTTTTCTATTTTTTTTTTTTTTTTTTTTTTTCACCTTGTTACCTTAAAGATGAGTACTTGTCATTAGCCTCACATCAATAAACATTCCTACCGACAAAACGTAGCTAGATTTAACCACAGTATATTTTTTTCCCTAATGTCTTCTAACAAGTAATTATAGTGGTTTTAATAATGATTTCTTTTTTCTTTTAACCCCATTTTGGCCTAAACACTTGAAAAGAAACAGAATAATTAATCAACAAATAGGCTCATAAATTGAAGGTCATGCCAAGAAATGATCATCGCAACTAACTTCTGAATTAACGTTATCAATTCATATATATGCCAACTTGAATGAACACCCACACAATTTTAAATTTCAACTAATGATAGGCTTACACATTATATTTTAAATTCCCAATTATGACACTAAAACCCACAAAAGTTTTCACATTTTGTGACTAGTTGAAAAAATAGCTGCATCAAATTTCCATGAAATTATCTCATCACCAATATTATTTAACATTTTCCTAATTACCAATTAGAGGCTCACATACCACTATTTGAATTCACAATTATGACACTAAAACTAACAAAATTTTCACATGATGATTTGTGATTTGGTTTAAAGTGTATATTAACATTTTATTCAAATGAAATCTTATATGGTATGCTTTTTTAGGTACTTTGTGGTGGCAAATGCAATAGCATGTTCATACGCGGTGCTCTCTCTAGTCCTCTCGCTCGAGAACGGCGGTGGCAGCAACAGCAGCTCCGGGCTTATCATCACTGTCGTCGACGTGGTGATGACGGGGCTACTCTTCTCTGCAAATGGCGCTGCCGCCTCCGTCGGCTTGATAGGCTACGAGGGGAATTCACACGTGCAATGGAGGAAGGTATGCAATGTTTTCCACAAGTTTTGTGTTCAAGGAGCTGCTGCTCTCGTCATTTCCCTGTTGGGAGCCGTAGCCTTTCTCTTGCTCGTTGTGCTCTCCGTCAAACGCCTCCACAAAAACTAGTACTCATCATCCACTGCACGTGTGAACTCCCCTCGTTGCTTTGTTATCTTAAAATTTGTAGAAATTCGAATGTTAGTGTTTATGAATATTGTAAATGAATGATTCGACCGAGCTATCCAAAACTTACGAAGTTGAGATAACGGGTGCGTTTAGAACTCGTTCTAAAATGATTTTATTTTTTGTATGAAAATGAAAATGAAAACGTTTTCAATTTCAGACATAAATTATTTTTAAAAATATGTTTGGTAGTTTTATCAAGAGATTGTTTTCAGTATAAAAAAACTCATTAATGTTTCTCTCTCTCTTTTTACTTGAGAGAGGAGAAAACGAAAACAAAAAATGAAAAACGACTTAAAGTCGTTTTTCATTTCTCTCTCATTTTACACTAAACCAAAAAATTGTTTTCATTTCTGTTTTTTGTCTTTATTGCGCCAAACGCCGTTTTGAAAGCGTTTTCATTTTTTATTTCTCAAAAAATGTAAAAAACAAGAACGGGATCAATTCTAAACATGGCCAACATCTTTCGCTTCTTGGTCACTAGTGTCGCATGACAAAAAAAAAGTCTTTAATTATGAGTGATGCGCATTTTTAAATGCCGTATCCTATATTTAGAGTTAATGAAGTTTTTAAACAGCATGCATCTTTTTCGTTTAAAAAAAAAAAATAACAACATGCTTAAGAATTGAAACTCATTCCCTTTCAAAAAAGAATTGAAACTCATTCATTATCAATCGGTCTGATCTACCACAAAATTCTCGATATTATACAGGGATTCATAATGATCGTAGTAGCATATACACACCCATATATATAGCCCAACACTTTAATAACCCGTTGAACAACACTAAATTGATCCGCCATTTTTCAATAGAACTTTATCGACCCTATTTATATGAATACACACTAGATGAATAATCATTTGATGAAAAAATATTAGAATTTCCTTATTCGAATTAGAATGTAAAATTATTGACTCCAGAGATATAATAATTATATGAAGAAGATAAAATTGTTTCAAAAACAGATATAGACCAGAAGTGTCCCTTGTTTTGAAGAGATAAGGACTGGTTGCCCAGAGGCAAATTAATTGAAAGTTAAGCAATGATAATTTAAAGGATTCCCCCACCCCTAACCTCACCTCCAAAAAAAAAAAAAAAAAAAGATGTCTCCTATATTGTCCATATATTATGGAAGTATCGACCTAAATTCATAAAGCTCTTAAAGTATACGTCAAGAAAATTAAAGATCCATGAATGTAGAAAACCTAAATTCATAAAGCTCTTAAAGTGTAGAAAGTAACATGGGAGGCCAACCCTTATTTATTTATGTTTGCTGGTCACTATATATAACGTGTCATTACTACTACATAATTTACACCTCAGCAGTAAATTACCTGAAATTTTGATATCCGGTAAGAGAGAAGTTCAAAACCGCATACTGATTGCCTGATATTAGCCATAGGGTTAAAAGGGTCATGTAGGGTAGGTCGCAATATTGAATATCCTCATGAACAAGCTTTTTTTTCTTTTTTTTTTTTTCGAACTACCAGTTTATTTTACTAGTTAGGACATCTCTAAATTTTAACTAAATTTTAGTTAAATTTTAGCTAGTAACGTGAGACAATCCAATTACCATACTTTCTGTTTTAGCTAAACGTCAAATATTTTATAATATTTATTGAATTTAAAATATAAACAACTTCATTAAATTTAAAAGAGAACTTATATTTATTACTGTTTAAAAGAATAAAATAATAGAAAAATGAAATGATTAACCTCTTCTTGCTAGATATATTTAGCTAGTATGAAATGCATTCTCTAAACTAGCTAACTATTTAACTACTGGTTAGAGTATAGAAAAGTGAAAAAAAGTTAAATCATTAGCTAATTTAGTTAAAAATATTAAATGACTAATATGGTTGGAGATGCTCTTAATTTTCTATGTCCGTTCAATTTTGTCAAAACAAAAAGTTTTCCCTAACATTTGGTTATTGTATTGTTATGCGCCGGATATTTCACTTATGACATCCTCACCCTTGATTTATATAAAAATATTAAAACAACCTCTCCATCGTATTTCCAAATGGGAAAATGCAAAGAATAGCATTTTTCATACCCTCTTTTGAAGTAAGTAGCAGGTTTTTTATGATAGATTATAGCATATTTCAATTTTCAATTAGAATTAAAATGTTCTATTACAATTTTACCCCTCTTTTAGGGTTCATTTTCTTTCTTCTTCCGAGACCCTTCTCTCTCCTCTCTCATCTCTCTCTTTCCAAGCTGTCAAACGCAGACTCTCTCTCTCTCTCTCTCTTGTCGTGATCTCTAGCACCGGCGAGGTGCCGCACGATTTCAACGGCGATGGCGATGGCTTCGGCGCTCTCTTTCAAACCAGATCTGGTGAGGTTCCATCGTGATTCCAGTCTCAAGCTCGATTTCGATCTCGATCTCCGTCGACACTCTTTATCTCTCTCTGTCTTCTCACGCATCCGGACAATAGGAAATCACGAGGACTGCTTTGCAACGGGGAATCTGAGAAAATAATTGGTCACGATCTAAAATCTACTCGCGGTGACAACCTTTTTCTCGCCTCAGCAATGATGTTTGGTGTCTGTTGATCTAGGAATGCTCTCTCTCTCTCTCTCTCTGTCTCTCTCTCTCTCCCCTTGTTTTATTATTTTTGCAGTTTGGTTCTGCCAGAAATGATGTTGCCGGGAAGGGTGCCGCGAGCATGGCCACGATGTTATGGGTGGTAGCTGCCAGTGTGGACTGATGGATGATTTTATGTTATTAGCCTTTGGTTTAGAAATTAGGGTTATCTGAATTAGGGTTTTGGGATTGATTTTGAGTTTGTAATTAATTTATGCAGTTATTTGTTTGTTTACTGAGTTTGTGATTAATTCTCATTTGTGTTTGGATATGTTCGAGTCTATGATTTTTGTAGATCTAATTCCGATTTGTTTATTGAGTTTGTGATTTCTTAGATTTGATTTTTTTTATTTTTCACATTCATATGTGTTTGTGATTTTTTGGATCAAGTTTTATTCCGTATTTGGTCACTGACTCCGATCACTGGTTACTGGACTTTTCTGGTAAATATGGCATTTATGTTGGTTTTTGAAATATTTTTGAGTGCGGAAGTGTGATAGTGCGGATCATGTATAACAAAAAAATTTCACAAAATCTTTTGTATACGCTATAGATTATATTAATTTATGCAATAATAAATTAATCTCATTAATTTATCACGATAGATGCCTTGCCGACGATTAGGACGATATCTTGAGGTCTTTGGCCAACGAACGTTCCTTGCTCCAAAGCTTTCTTAGAACACCTAAGTCTTCCTCGTCTACTCCTTGATTTCGCAAGATGATGAGTGTGGGCTCAATGTACAACTATCAGAACGATCACCCGCTATTTTGTATTCTTTCACTATCAACACATGTATGTGAAAGAATTAGGAATATTGGAAGAACTTTTCTTCTCTTTTTCTCGCTTGTGATATTCGACCAACCTAGGGAATTTTTTAGATCAAAATCTTTTTTTTCTAATTCCTATTGTCTCCTATTTATAGACAATTATGAGAACCCTTTTGCTTGAAGGCAAAGAAAATAGGAAATTTGTTGCTACTATATTTTTAATCTCATTAAAAATACAGTTTCCCTTGTGCTTTTGGAAACAAAATTTCCTTCTCTTTTTCTTATTGTGTGGCCGGCCATCTCTTAAGAAGGAAGGAGAAATGTCACGACCCCAAGGATAGAGCCGTAATTATTAGAGTTTAATTAAAATTTTAACTTAATTAAACTGGACTAATTAAGAAAAATCCATAAAAATAAAATAAAATATACAAATACCAAAATAGATATTAAAATATATTGCTCCGGAGTCTTTCTTTTACAAATAATATTTAAAACAGTCCATAAAATTCAAGGAAAATAGTACAACTCTGGGACAATATCAACCAATACAGTTTATATACAGAAATACAGTACATCTCAGAATTAAAAACTGTAAATTCGAAACAAACTAAAAGTACTTACTGTCTGAAAACATACATAAATACAGTACATATCAGAATTAAAAACTGTAAAATATATTGCTCCGGAGTCTTTCTTTTACAAATAATATTTGAATCTCGCGCCTTCAATCTATTAGCATCCAATCGCAATGCTGTAAATCTAAACCGCTAACTCTAGACGGGGGTTTAAAACATTAAAAACTGAAGAAAAATGGGTGGAATGCCCAGTAGGGTATAATTTTATAAAATATTGTAAATAAAAGTACTTACTGTCTGAAAACATACACCCGGAACCGATCATCCTTTTCAGAAAAAAGAAATACTCACGTAATAGTAGTAAAATATATGTATAATGAAAATATGCATAGCCATAATAACACCACTGAGCAAGAAGTGGACCGTACAAATTTCGGGACCTGCCCCCAAGGATACGATTACCATATCCCGATCTCTGTGGCCACCATGATTTTATCATTTCTGAAAATATTTCATTTTAAGAAAGAAAAATCTTTACAATCTCATTTCTAAATTATTGGAAACCCAATAGCATTATTCATGCCATTTCTTTTAAAATTATTTTCTTTAAACATGTTTTGTTCTAAAACATTTTGATAGGCCAAAACCAGTTAAATCATGGTTATCAAGGATATGGACAAGAATATCATACCTCTCGGATATCAAACCTGGGCTAGCCTTTCGTTATCCTAGCCTATGCTTTCCTCAAAGCTTTTAATCTGATCCTTCAACTAACATTGTCACAAAACAAAGTTTTAGGACACAATCCTCATTCCTAAAACAAATCAAGTTCAATTATGTCTAATTGTTTCCTATTAGTGTGCCTTGACTCAAATCTAAGTTTCACAAACGACTTTATAATTCAGTTTGAGGGTTCTTTAAAAATTGAAATCCAATTCATGGGTTTGGTTTCCCTTTTTAATTTCAGCTTAAAAATAAGGTTTTAAACAAATTTCGGCAGCATATCGGCATATATAGGGAAAATGTCAAACCTACAATTCAAGTTCAATTTCAAAATAAATTCTCCTAAAATCATCAAAACTAGTTTCCAATCAATTCAACAAGTCCAATAACTGAAAATCCCCAAATTTAATTCAATTCTAACAACAATTGTTCAAATCCAAACCCTAACTCAAAATTATTCAAATCTAACCAAAATCAAACTTTCTCAAGTTTAAAATTCAAATCAAAGAGTGAGTTTTAAGGGGTTTTACCTCAAATTAGTTGATGGCGCCTTTCTCTCTCTTTTCTCTTTTTTTTTTCTTTTTTTTCTTTCCTGCTTCGACAGGAACAAACCAGAGAGAGAGAGGTGAGAGAAAGAGAGAGAGCAGGGGAGAGAGTGAGAGAATGCCGGTGAGAGAAGGGGAGAGAGAGATGGTCGGTGGCCGGCTGGAGTAAAGGGAAAAGAGAGGGAGGGACCGGTGGTGGAGAAATGGAGGAGAGAGAGAAGAGAAAAAGAAAGAAATAAATAAAGAAAGAAAGAGAGAGAGGGGCTGGTCTGGGCAGCCACGAGAAGGAAGGGAAGGGAAAACGAAAAAGAAAAGAAAGAAAAGAAAAGGAAAAAGAAAGAAAAAAGGAAAAATAAAAGAAATAGGAAAAAATAAAAGAAAATACATTAAAATTAAGTGTATTTTCAAAAACTTTTGGGGTGAAAATTGAAAAATGAAAGTAATTTATAAGTCCTTAAAATAAACTTAATCTTTAATCACAAGATTAATTGGAAAAAAATTAGTTTTAGGCACACTAATATACACAATTAACATAATTAAACATGTTTAATTCTTAAGGGCGCTACAAGAAATTTTTTTCCTAATCCAGTTTCTAATTTTAGCTTAAATTCAATTCAAAATAAAGTAACATCTTACTTTCCCTTTTGAATTTAATTGAAAAACTTATCGAACAAGTAAACCGGATTACTTGGTGAGCAAGTAACTAAATCCCAATAGGATTTTTTCCAGTGTCACATGCTCCCTGTGGTCCCACCATAGTGTGTGACAAAATAATTAAATAATGACATTATTTAATATATAATTAATTCTCAATTAATTATTCACGAGTGAAATAAAATCCCAATAATTCATCTTATCTTGCAAATAATACAAGGATGACGCGGGGACTTATGGACCTATAATTCTGAGCTCCAATAAAATTAATAATTAATTGAACTCTTTAATTAATTTATTAATTATATTAATTCTAAAATTTACTGCACTAAAAACTTGGAATTGCACTCTCAAAATTATAGACACAATTTACTTCTAAGAACTTAAAGTTTTCATTTGATATAGTCACTACATATAGATTGATCCTCCATAATAATTTATAATTAGAGCTAGGTAAAATTCGTTAACCTCTCTACTTACATCTTTATCATTGAGTACCATTGATTCTCTAATGAATAGTATATTCATAAAACACATTCATGAATACGAGTTTGTTACTTATTCAAGTACCGAATCAACCCTTAAGGGAATTATTTATCTGCTTTTTTAAAGAAGAATGAATGGATTCCATCTTGTATATTAACATTTTCGGCTATCCATTTCATTATGTTCCCAAGATACAAGGAATAGGATTTAGGATTTTGAAATCCATACCGAGTAAGTCAAAGAACATGAATTCACAAATAAGAGTCTACTAATAACTCAGGATTAAGATCATTATATATATGACTATCGGTAGACTCAAATTTGATTTTTTATGCTTAACGGAAATTATCATAATATGTAAATTATCCTTCGTAACCTGCAGTTATTTTTCATTAACCTACTGATTATCTTTCGTAATTTGCACGTTATTTTTTCATAACCTGTAGGTTATTTTTTGTAGTAGCATTAAAATTTTGTATAGTGACATAAATAATAGAGTTGAAAAAAATAATTGTTAGACTTGAAATTTTCTCAAATATTTTCTGCCTACAAATCTTCTTTATTTTGTACATTCTCTTGTGGGTTAAAGAATGGACTTTTTTTAGTTTTTTGCCGCTAATTAAGGTTAAAGAATGGTACTTATAGGAATCTAGTGTTAGTTTTCTACTTCTATGTTAAAGAATGGTACTTACAGGAATCTAGTGTTAGTTCTCTACTTTTATTATTCAGATATATTCTTGCGCTTTGCATTCAATATCAATAATATAATTTGGTAATATGATGATCATATTTCATTCAAATATGTGTGTATATATAGCACATGCTGTCCTACACTGGTGTCAAGTGTCCCAAACATTCATTTTTTGGTAGCTAACTTCTGTAGCCCTTGTCTGAACTTACTGTAAGTGAACCCACATAGATAACAACTTGTCATATAATTTGTTGATACAATAATGTGTTTTTGCCTTGGAATGAGTTTTTAATAACTTTTTTTTTTTTACAGCTGAGAAATTCATGTATTTGCTTCCTCTACGCTGTCAAAACTACAACTTGCTAGCTACTTACTCACACATATGTACATATTAGTGCCAAAAAAATCATCACCGCATAGAGTTGAAATCTTTGACAGAAGGGTGCAGACTTTCAATTATACATGGTCCAAGCCGTGTAAAGTGTAAACCAAAAAAAAAAAAAAAATGCAAAAGTGTGGACGAACATGATCATATTTACATTCACAAAGTCCTTGCATTCAGTTTAATTTATATATACATATATAGACGAGTTTTGAATAATCGCATTTCATCCTTAATTACTCATTAAATATAATAATTTAATGAAAAAATTGTAATTAATTTTTTTAATTATTATGTAATTTATTACAACCATAAAATAAATATTTTACAGTTAAAAAAATTTAATAATAAATAAATATTAGAGTAATAATTAAAAACACACATCTATATATATGTATATTATATTGTCAAATTATAAAAAGTGCATCTTTCTTTATGTTTTAACACAAACTTAAAACTTCAATATTATATTATAATATTTGAAAAGTCGTCTCAAGATTCACATTTGGGTAGACGTGGAAGAGATGCAATGATGCAATGTGGCGTAGATGCGCCACTCATCACTCTCCAATAAATTGTAAATTCGAACGTTCTTGAATTCATGCCCATTATTATGTGGGTTGTTTCATAGGTTTTTGAGTCTAATAGAAGAAAAAAAGAAAGAAAAACAAAAAAAAAAAAATTGAACTTTGCAACATGGTCAAATGTGAGCCACAGCCTAAACTAATTCCATTCAATATATGATCATCATCGTCATTATTATTTTCAAAGTGATTGTGATCAATTATCACTTACCTATGCTTATATAGCATAGCCTTTACATCTCAATTAATAATTAGAAAATAAAGCACCAAAGTGTGGCAATAAGGATTTAATAATTTCAAGCACATTAGTGCATAATTTGGGAAAGGATATGACTTTATCAATTACGTATAGGGTGACTATATTTGTCAATTATGAATTTGCGCGTTGAGATACTATAAATGTGGATATGATGGGTAGGTTTCCCACTAGTCTTGCACACTCGTTTTCTGCTTCCTTGCAGCATTGATTTTTATTTTAATAAAAAAACATTTTATAATGTGGATCCGTATAAGATTGCATACATCATGGGGTTATTAAGAGTGAAAATTCGTGTTAATGGGTCGTATTCGTGTCAACTTATTTATTAATCGTGTCAGAAAATATCAACCCAAATATGACATTTTAATTTAACGTGTCAAAAATTTCAACTCAAACACGACCCATTTATTAACCGTATCAACTCGTATAACCCGTTAAAATTAATATATTAAATAAATAACTAATATAATAATGACTTATTTAACTTGCTCAAGACAGGTTTAACATGTTTATTGGTCAATTTATCTTTTCCTTTAAGAAAAACAAATGAATTTTACCTACAAATATTAAAATTCACATTATTTGTATTTAAATATGTCATATAAACTTTTATGTTATATCACATATCATTAAATTGCTGATGATATATATAGTTAATCATGTCAATTCGTGTCACTTCGTGTTAGGAGGTCAACCATAACCCAACCTAATTGTTAATCGTGTCAACCCGATTATGACCAAAACCTATTTATAATAAACTCAAACCTGTTAACTTCGTGCGGATTTTGAGTCGTATCGTCGTGTCGCTACCCAAGGTTTATAATGTAATGGCCAATACAAAATTTAGAGTGATCTCTTGTAGTGCTTTATTTCTACTTAGATTTGAATGAAATTTCTCTTAAAAAATAAAGTGATCTTTAAACATCTTGATTCAGTTTGCACCGTAATTTAAGTTGTAAGTGGGTCTCACAAGATGAGACTTGTTAGGTCGGGTCCACATTTTGTTTCGTAATATCACAAGACGAGACTGATATTAAGTTAACATGACATTTAGTTTAAACATTAATGGCTTTTTAAAGACATAAAGGCATAGTTTTTCATAACCGAACTTATATAGAAAATGCCTTAAATTCAGCACCCGGATCAGTCTGATAAATGTAATTCTTTTCATATAATATCGTTTATTTATTGTATAACACTCAGTTTATTTAAGTGTAATGTTTAAAAAAAAATAGCCCAACACGTGATATTGAGTGCTATATTTGAACAAATTGAATGTAACACACGCGTATGAACAATATTACACAAAGTTAAAAAAAAAAGTTACATTTATTGGAGTGTACAAGTGCCTGATATAAGACTTTGCGGCCTCTATATATATGTATGACTTTTCTAATGAGGTAACTACAAATCTTGTTTTGATAGTCCTTTTTTAGCGTAGTAGCACAAGTTCGTGGTCATTATTTCGCCGCAACGACCAACCACATCTGCTCCTTAATTGTCTCTTTCAACAGTTTACACCTCTCTTTCACACTTTCCCTGCTCTTCAATCTTCACCAATAGCACATATAATAACATAATATATATATATATATATATATCTCTCTCTCTCTCTCTCTCTATTTAGAGCCTTGCTCTAGCAACTACTTTCTCCATATATACGTGTCACAAATTCAAATACATGCATAAGTTGTAATTGTGAGGATTCATATTGTTGGTGATGGAGAGCAAAAGCATGAATAGAAATGGTGGCAATGAATTGGGAGGAAAAGAAGTGAAAGTGGCAAACAAGAGAAGAATAGGAGCATGTGAGTCTGTGCTGAGGATTTTGGCACTTGTTCTCACTCTCTCAGCGGCTGTTATTCTTGGAGTGGATAAACAGAACAAAGTTGTTCCTGTTCAAGTTCTTGAAACTCTGCCACCTATTAGTGTTCCTGTTTCTGCTAAGTGGCATTACTTGTCTGCCTTTGTGTAAGTCGTCTTCTATTAATACCCTACTTAATTAATTAATTCCTTGCTTAATTTTAAACTGCATCTTTGATTTGCTTGGTATGTGAACTAGTTAGATCTGATTATGGCTTTTATGCTTGTTTTCTTCTCTCTCTCTCTCTCTCTCTCTCTCTCTCTAAAACTTTCATAATGAAAAAATAAAAAATAAAGATATGGTAGTGAGTTATATATGCTTCATATCACAGTTTAAGAGCAACTTTTGTTGTGATATAATTTGAGGATATTATATATAATTTGTAGTTTTGTGTTGGAATTTGGTCTTTAGTATAATCTAATTTCCGTTTGGAAAAATCCTAACCGATATCACCATTTTCTTCTGATTTATGTTCTGGGAATTAATGTGTTGTTTAAGATGATTACGCATTAGAACAAAGGATTATTCAAGGTTCTTTCACCTTTTTTTAAGGAAATACTTTTTTTCTTTTTTAATTTATATTTTAGTCCTTTTAAGTTGCCATTTTTGTCTGTCTTCTTTTAATATTATCTAAAAATGGGGCTGTCATTTAATAGCCCCACGACACGACAATAAGTCGCCTCTCAATAAGACATATGGGACCAGATGTATATAATTTCTTTTCACATAATTTGTTTTAACAACCGTATACCATAGTAGAAATGTTCACAAAGAGTATTAATTTCGGTATTTTTCTAAAAGGTACTGCTACTAACCATAAACCATAATATACTGCATGTAATCACCTCAAAAACAAAAAACAAAAACAAAAATAGCCACAACATCTTCTTGTAACACTTTCAGTCATAACATTTTTGTATAACTAAAACTTTTAACTACGAGGTAAGAATAAATAAATAAATAAATAAATAAAAACGTCGCGGTTAAAAGTTTTTAGTTAGCACAAAAATTTGTGACTAAATGCATAAGTCACAAGATTATAGCTAAAAATGACATTTAGGAAAAAATATAATAAGAAGATGTTATGATTGAAAAATCTTTTTTTTTTTTTTTTTGTTGCTCTTCTTTTTGGTAGTGAATTAAAACTCTCACGATCACATTATTATAACAGTACTTGAAGTCAACTTCTTGCGTACTATGCAATAGCTTAAAGCCTTATACGTTTACCACGCCAAAGCAACAGTAAAGTTTGATAACTTAAACAATTATTCAATGTCATGCGTCAAAATTTTCAGAATTTATTTTAAACTTTCACAAATCACATAGTAGATAAAAAGAAAAATTCATGCGTATCCTAATTTTTGATCGGGTTAAAAAACTTCCAAAACTAAATAAAGTCTGGCAGCCGTACATGATTGGTAAATATAATTTTTTTTCTTTATATTCCTATATAACATTGTTCATAAGTTTATGTAACATTATGTGTGTTTAAGTGTAATACTTAACGTTACATATATTGGACTATATTTTTTTGAATGTTACATTTAAATAAATTGAGTATTATATATACAAATTGTTGGACTAATCCGGCTGCCGCCTAAAAAAACTAGTAGTGACAGCAAAATCTAACATTTTCTCAAATTGAGCACCAATAAAAAATAATAATAATCAATCAATGATAGCTCATAAACTAAGCCACTCTCGCTCAGGTACTTTGTGGTGGCAAATGCCATAGCATGTTTATACGCAGCGCTCTCTCTAGTCTTTTTGCTCGCAAATCGCGAGGGAAAGGGCATCACGGGGCTTGTAGTCGTGGTCGTCGACGTGGTGATGATGGCACTGCTTTTCTCCTCCAATGGAGCCGCCGCAGCCATAGGGGTGCTAGGTTTTAAAGGGAACTCACACGTGCAATGGGAGAAGGTGTGCAATGTCTTCGACAAGTTTTGTGACCAAGCAGCCGCCGCCCTCGTCGTCTCTCTGCTCGGAGCAATAGCCTTTCTCTTGCTCATTGTGCTTGCAGCCAAACGCCTCCACAACAAGTGATCGTGATCAAATTACTTCAAATTACTACTAGAATATTATGTCTACTCTCTATGTATAATGTTCTTCCTAATCCTTCTAGATGTGTGATAATTGTGGCTACGTTTTGTTTTTCTATGCCGTTTTTATATGTTGTAGAGCTTTCGTTAATTAGTAGATATCAATTTTCGTGACAGATTAGTTGTGATATTATATTTAATAAGTTACGAGGGAAATGGTTTTATCTTGAACCATTAGATTCCAGATATTTTTCTTTTCTTAATTTTATATAATACTTGAAAAGGATAATTTTGTTTTCATAATTCTTTTAAATTTTGACACGCTAGTATTTTAAGATGTGATTGATGATGATTAAAAAAAAAAAAAAAAAAAAAAAAGGTTAACCAGTTTTTTTTTTTTTTTTTTTTGTTTTTTTTTTTTTTTTTTTTGTTTTTTTTTTTTTTTTTTTTGTTTTTTTTTTTTTTTTTTTTGTTTTTTTTTTTTTTTTTTTTGTTTTTTTTTTTTTTTTTTTTGTTTTTTTTTTTTTTTTTTTTGTTTTTTTTTTTTTTTTTTTTGTTTTTTTTTTTTTTTTTTTTGTTTTTTTTTTTTTTTTTTTTGTTTTTTTTTTTTTTTTTTTTGTTTTTTTTTTTTTTTTTTTTGTTTTTTTTTTTTTTTTTTTTGTTTTTTTTTTTTTTTTTTTTTGCGTCATTATTTTACTTTTTGAAATGCTTCATATTTCATTACTCTGAGATTTGTAATTCTTTTCTTTTCTGTAAATTATGTACAAGTACGTACTGTATATTTTAAAATTTTACCCTCAATGAATTTGACAAAGCCATTCACAAGATTTCTTATTGAAAAATAAAATATGAATATGTGTTTGTATGACATGAATTTGAATTGATTTTTTAAAAACATGCGACAAAATGATCCATATACAAGCGTTAAATAGTTTAAGAACAATGCAAAATTGTTTGGATTTGGATTTGATGACGGTGCAAAACTCCATGTAGGGGCGGGGCATTTTGGGTTGGTTTGAACCAGCTTATAAATCTGAATTACGGTTGTTTGGATTAGATGCAAAGTTCAAATTACGCTTTGTTAAAATGTCATCGCAAATAATTTGAAGGAAACCGCCAAAGTTTTTGTTCATTTTTTTTTGGAGAAATTTAAATTCCCGGTTATTTATGACGACATTATTAAACAATTCGTCGCAAAAAATAGTCGTTATTGATAGAATTTTCTGAAACTTTTTTTTATGACGACATGTGTCGTCGCAAAAACAGTCATTCTGAAAAGAATTTTCTGAAACTAGTTTTTGCGACGACTTTTCAATATGTCGTCGTAAAACATAAAGAAATATCTAGAACCTATTCGCGGAAAACCGCTAAATTTTCCGCATCTTTTTGGCCCCGTCACCGCCAGCTGTAAGTATCAATATTTGCGACAATATGTCGTCGCAAATAATGGACAAACTTGCGCCAGATTAGTTTTGGCGCCAATGGCTATTAGCGACGACATGTCGTCGTGAATAATATGTCAACTTTTAGCGACGATATGTCGTCGCAAATAGTGAAATTTTGTGCAACGACATATCATCACAAATAGTGAATGCGACAAGTCGTTTAAAAATTTTATTTTCTTTTTAGCGACGACCTATCGTCACTAATACTGTGATTTTAGCAACAATAAATGTCGTCACTAATAACTCTTTTTGTTGTAATGACGTCCACTTTAAAATCTTAAAATCACGATCACCACTACGTCCTACCCCTTTCCTTGCACCCAATTATCATCAACCCTTTTCAAAATTCTCACTCCCTTTGAAACTGATTGTGATGGATTTTTTCTTATCAATTCATGGATTTTGTATGACACCATAAACCAACCTCAATTATATGTGTTGTCCAACGATACAAATTACAAAGGTCGTGCTCTGTAGACTGGGTCACAATAATACATTGCTTGCTGAACCAGTTGACTTATGTAGTTGTTTTCATGACATTTTCTACATTTATAGTACTATATGTTTATAATTAGATATTTTCATTCTTTTTATATTAATTTTTCATGACTTGTCATTCTCCAAAATGGGCCTAACCAGGATTAGAAGTTTGGGTCCTTTGGGATACCAAGAAGTCCTTTACCCACACTATACGTCATCTGTAGAAGTCCCCATTGAATTTTCTTCTATTCCAATCAGAAAAATCCCATTTTTGCCGAGATAGGGATTTATGCTCATTTCTTGAGTCCGACGAGGATATGTCCAGTCGAGATCTTTAAGGCTCTATTCAGTTCGTCGATTTGAGTTTTTAATTCAAATTGAGTGTGTAGCAAAAAAAGTTATATGTGACTTTTTATAAAAAATTTTAATTGTAACAAAATTAAAATTGAAAACTCAAATCAGTGAAAATTCATCTTCTAATTATATGTTTTAAGGAAATTACTAATGGTAGTTGCCCTTAAGATGTGTAACACCCTGAAGAATTAATTGAGATTAATTAAGGTAATTGAGATTATTAGTGTGCCTAATCTGAATTATTAATTGAGTATTAATTAATAAATGTTTCTGACACGTGTGAGTTTAAATAGTTCTAAAGTATTTAAATTATTCTCAGTAATTTATTTTAACCCAGAAGTGTGTATGGGCACATTTATGGACTGTTCTTTTAAAATATTGGACACATGTCCTTTTCTTTGTTTTTCCTTTTCTTTTCTTTTTTCCTTTTTCCTTTCCTTTTTCCTTTTCCTTTTTTTTCCCTTCCTTTCCCGTGCGTCTCTCTCCCTCACTCTCTCTCTCACTCTCCCGTGATCTGCCTCTCTCTCTCTCTCATTTTTGTCCCAAATCAAAACGGATCTTGAACCAAGGAAAGATTTAAAGAAGTTTTCAACGTCAAGAGAAGGATTCGAGGTAAGATTACTGAAAGAACCTCTCTTGAATCTCAAGTTTTTGAATTTCAAAACTTATTTTTGGTTCAAACCGGATTTTGATAGTTTTTTAGTAAACTAAACTAGAAATTGGAGATCTTGGGTTCTTTGGACTTGTTTTAGGACCTAGAACCCAGATCTAGTGGTTTTTCTTTAAAATATCTCGATTTGGGACTTGATTTGTAGGTTTTGGACTGATTTTCGTGAGCTTCTCTCACGCAGCTAATTCCACCGGTCGACCTGTGCGGTCGACCGGATCACATGGAAACCGGTCGACCTATGCAGTCGACCGGACTGTAGGCTGACCAGTCGACCGGTCCGGTCGACCGGTGTGTACACTACCGGTTGACCGGTAGTGTTGCACTGCTCTGTCACCGGTCGACCGGTTGACACGGGGTTTGACCCTGTTTGGCCTGAAAATGTTGTTTTGACCCCTGTTTTCGAGGAATACCCAAATTAGCTTCATTTGGGGACTTGAGATAGATGGATTAGCATTGTTAATCCTTGATTTGAGATTGAAAATCCTTGGAATGATAATTTGAAACATGAAAATGGATTAGGGCACACTAATAAGAAATCTTGGTTGAAAATTGAGATTTGGATTGCTTTAGGAATGAGAATTGATCCTAAAGTGTTGTCTTGCATCAGTGATCGCTGAGAATTCAGGGTGAAGGGCTTTGAGGACGCGGAAGCCGGAAAAGGCAACGCTAGTCCCAGGTTTGATAGTGCGAGGTAGGATTTCTATCCCTTTTCCTTGTGAGCCTGTTTTCAAAAAGGATTTTGGCCTCGAAATATTTTAAAGAAAGGGATTGGTTTGTGAAAGAAAATGTTTTGAAAACCATGGCTTGTTTAGTCATGGAACCTCATGGCTTGTCCAGTCATGGGGCTCGCGGCTTGAGTAGTTCGTGGGGTCGTATTAACAATTTCAAAATGTTAATGAATGATTTCTTAATAAAGAGATCTTGTGAACTGGTAATAGAGTCTATTGCTGTAAGCCCAGATAGGAGGCGGAGAGTACATCCTCGGGGGCAGAACCCGAAACTCGGACCGGGTAGGCAAGGCACTTGGTTAGGTAAGTAATTTGTACTAATTACTTGCTGAAGCCTGTAAAATGGTTATTTACAGTTATATTTCCTTTGAGAAAAAGGATGTGAGGTTCCGGCTATTCCGTCGGGACTGAATGTCTTATTTTATTTACTTATTCATGTATATATTTCCCTCGTACATTTATTATTCATTTATTTATAACGTTTATTTCAAATTATATCCTACTGGGCCTTTCACTCACGTTTTATGTTTTAAATGTATTAAAGCCCTCCCAAGAGACTCTAGGAACGGTGCACAGTAGCTAGATATTGCTATGGAGCAGCTGAGTTGTGCTGCTGTTGGAATCAAGTGAGGATTGTGGTCATCCTCTGATACAAATGTAAGGAATTTGAGAAATTCTGTAAACTTAAATAATATTTGGATTTACTAGACTGTGGTTGATGTCTGTTGTAATGATTATTTACATGTTCATGTATGTACGATACTGTATGTCCTGTGGGGTGGAGCCCTGTGTGTCAGAGGCTCCGGAATTCTGTAGTAATGTAATTATATTTTAATGCAGTTAAGTGTGGGGCCCGATTGGGAATCTGCTTTATTAATCCCAAATCGAGCTCCACGTCACCCACCCCGTTTGGGGGGCGTGACAAAGGTGGTATCAGAGCCCTAGGTTAAGAAACCCTAGGATTGTACATACATGTGTGACATCTGTTATCCACTGAACAGTCTAGTTTTATTTCAGTTAAAGGAAATGACACCTCGCCGTAGGCCCGCTAATCAACCGGCACAACAGAATCAAGGATTTCTGGATGCCATGTATGCTGCCTTTCAAGGCATGGCCACAAGAGCTAAAAACAAGCGGCCGGTTGAGGATAGGAAGTAAGGGTACTTCCGAGAATTTAGGCGTGCACATATCCCCTCGTTTAATAGTGAGGGAGGACCCCAGGAAGCAGAGTTTTGGTTAGACTCCATAGTCAAGCACTTAAGGACTATGGGAGTCCCAGATGAATACTAGGTGGAATTTGCGGTGTACAAGATGGAGGGCTTAGCGAATACTTGGTGAAAACAGGTCAAGAGAAGAATAGATGTCGCAGGGTTGACCTGGGAATAGTTTGAGACGTTGTTCAATGAACAGTACTTCCCTCAGAGTTACAGGGAAGAAAAAGCGCTGGAATTTATGTTTCTACTGCAAGGAGACATGTCTGTAAGGGAATATGAGGCCAAGTTTAATGACCTATCCCGGTTTGCACCATCACTAGTGGAG